CTCAGAAATAGGTAAAAAATGTAGAATAAAGTTTTTTCATTTATAGCTTCGTTAAGAAAATAAACTGAACATATTTCGTTGAATATACAAGTTGTCTTGATACACTTGATAAATTCGACTTTCTCGAAAACGAAGCGTCACAATAAAAAAATTTGTATCTTAGTATCAATAATAGAATCATCTTTGAAAGTTGTAGACTGTCTCGCATTACATCCTTCGAAAAGTTCGTTGCGATAAAAAAGAAAATATTCCAGCTTTTATTTAATCGTTTGGTCTTTACAAATTTGTCGACTCATAATTTGTAACATGCGACCTCATTTGTTTTACTGTTGTTGTTGTGCAACTGTTGTATTAATTTTGATAACGTGCAAGCCAGTCTTGTACAAAAGAAAGCCGTCGGAAAATAAAACTGAAAATAAAACTTAAAAGTACAAATATTCTCTGTTTCTAAGAGATAAGAGTTACTAATAGAATTCGCTTTACATACGTTCGATTAAAAGTTTCTTGGTAATATTTCGTCTGTACAGAAGCATCTTGCACAGTCAGACATTAACGAAATTTTACAAGCACATAGTATGCAGTGTATTGACCTTCCAACGAATGAAACATCCTGTATAATGGAGATGCGCATGGGGCGGGACATCCCGCCTAAATTTCTGGCGTCCATTTACACGAATTCGGGGCCTATGCCAATTTCCCTATTTCTCTCGACGCTGATTTTTAAATAGACCGATCCCACGATCGCCCGTTTTCAAGATCATTTTCAGCTTAATGTTAGGAAACGACGATAAATTCGATTCTCGTGAAAACATCGTGCGCAAATGTTACCTACGAGCGAGCGAACAAATTTCAAGTAAATGTTTGTTTCAAACGTACCTTGGCAATGCTTCCCAATAAGGAACGGCGAACATTGCAAATTTTTTTGACGCGCGACTTTACGCAGTTCAAGTGCGTTCACGTGATAATATTGCCAACGAAAAGGAATACAGCTCTAGCCTAGCAGTGAAATCTTAGCAGGGCCACAAACGACATACTTTGTTCCTGTTTGGAGCGTATGATCGTCATTCTTTTACATCCTATTTTGTTTCGAAAAAGCGAGGTTATTCTTTCGATCGTTGGAATTCGCCTGCATCACGCTAATCCCATTCGCGCGTACAACAAGAAGACGAAAATAGTCGATAACACGGCCAAAAATAAATACATAACGTATCTAATAATAATAATCTTAAATAACGAAGTTTCACTACTGTATACTCTGTGTAGATATTTGTTCTGAAAATTGTTATCTCTCTTATAAGTTTGCGAAACACTGCATTGCGCTATTGCACGCTACCACCACAAGCCTGCTTCCGGAGAATTTAACATGCACCATTCTTTCCCCGTTTTACCTAAAATTCGAAAACCATTGCACACTGAGCAAATGTAAAGTTGCACAGTGCAACAAATATCGTAGAAATTTAAATAAATAGAAAAACATTAAATTATATGGAGGGAAGCTTTATACATTGAAATTACAATAATCACGATTTCTAACCTCGATCTAAATCTCA